ATAAATTAAATGTGTATCCAATAAAATTGATAAATTCAGAATAACTTGTTAAGTCAGCGATAGCCTCACTTCCGAGAATGCGTTTGACCCCTAGTGTTGCTTTAAAGTTTATAACACCCGAGGTTAGCCAAAATCATCTTTCCTGTTTCGGCGACTCGTAACCTGTACTAAGTTAGTGCGCCCTAACCAGTTAAACAAATGAACCGAGATTGTGACGTTAGTTACCTACATCTGCTGCTGATGAATACACCAATTTTGATGTTTGATAATATTTACATTTAATTCACCTAGGCGTTGCTGTTAACTTTTTTTATTTATAGAATGACAGGGGTGTGATTTAGTGTCAAATTCTGTCAGTTTGTATTTTTTGGACCTCCACTGAGGTCTACAGACCTAAAACAATTAAATTTGAAAATCTAAAAAATATCAAGTTGAACACTTAAACTGGTAAACTCTGCCAAGGATAACAACGGTAAATACTAAGAATTGAATTTAAACTCGATTTTCTTTGCTATTATTAGCTGAATTTGAGTGAAAAGCGTTGCAACGCTTTTTCATTTTCTGGTCATTTTGCAGAACAAAAATGATAATTTTGGAAAAACGTACATACATGTATTTTGGTTTACGCATGCCTTGTCATTGTTTTGTTTGGTTTGGTTTTACAGCGAATCAACATAATTTAGGTCAAATGGCGCCAGAACAGGAAAGTTGATTTTGGCTTACCTTGGGTGTGACAAGCTAAGAAATTTGATTATGAAAATCCATCTTGTACGCAGAGGATTTGAACCGAGCACATCTCGAACTACTTTAGACACTATCTAAGTTTAATGTTGGTATACTTACCTCTTAAGAAAATGTTTATACACACTATGTACAGGCTTTCATGTATTTGCTGTATTTTTTAAATTTTCATAATACCCAGAATGTGAATATTTCAAGTAATAATGACTAATGTCCGAAATCAGGAGGTCGATATACTTATAAAAAGAATACAAGAAAAAAAATACATAAAGTTTTAACTATCTATTTCGCAAATATCTACAATATTTCCATATTTCTTACTATATGCATTGGCAATAAGTTACTGGTATGGTAAAAAGCAGTTTTATTTGGTGAACAGTTAACTGTATCATACTTAAATATTGTGTATGGGCCTAGCATTCAAAAATGGATATAGAGAAGGAATGTTCTAATTCCATGTACTGATATGGTGAAATGTAGAAGACTATCTAAAACGACATGAACGACATGTGTTTTCTTTTAATAAAAATAGTTGTAGTGTGCGTGTGCGTGAAAAAAATAGCTAAGTTCTAGACACAGCTTCAAATGGAAGATTGTGGAATGTGTGTGACAGGTCCAATTTAAGAAGAAACTGTTAAACCCACATGACAGTGCATATTTAGTGCACGTTAAAAATTCAGAAAGTTTGTACTTCAAGAAAAACATGTTAAAATAAACAGCACTTAATAAGTAGTAAATATTTTTGGATCATGTTCTTTTTTAAATGCCATGTAAAATGGTATTCATTTAAATCAAATATTTTCATTCGAGTCTCCTTTTTTGGAGTCCAAATAAATCAATATAAAATCACAAGTGTTCTCCAACTAGCGTCTTTTTCTTTTCCGAGTCCAAAAAAAGCCACATGAAATCACAAAAATACGCAATCTAGTCTCGTTTTAACTGTCAGAGTCCAAAAAGTCCATATCAAATCACGACTTTATACCTTGTAGCTTTGTTTTGATTTCCTGAGTCCAAATAAAATCTTTATTGTATTCAAAAATGTATAGTATTGTTTTAGTAAAATATATGTAAAGTGTACCCACAATTAATTACGTTTGAACCAACTTGGTCCGTCATATAACATTTACGCATACAAAGACTTGGAATTTCTTAACTTTGTAACAAATAAATGGATTACAATTAGGAAATAGAAATGAGCCTTGACATGACATAAACAATGCGCACATCAGTTGGATGTAAGCAAAAAAAAAGAAATTCGTTACTGCATGAAAAGAATAAAATTGTTCACCACAATGATGACGGTTTTCCGCAGTTTAAAGATATGGGAAGAAATGACTCATTTTTACAGAGTACAAACTGCGCTGATAAAAAACCTATTCTGGTAACCTTAAACCTCTGAAATAAAACACTAGCTGAATCGTGATCTTAAGTACCAATGAAGAAAATTTCACATGGAAAATATGACTTGACAAATCTAATTTCATCTATTCAAACGACACTTGACATAGTGTCCTTACAACAACGAAAACACTTTCAGGGCTACTTATTTAAAGTAAATAAACAATAATTACAAGTATTCTTTTGATTGTTATTTTATTTCAAGTGTCGAGATGTTTTTCCAAGTATTTCTCCTTATTGTAACATGTCATGGCTGATATGTATATAAATTGGAACACTTTGATGTAATTAGAACAAGGAAGATATCACATTACATGGATATCATTGTTTTATATAACGGACACTCAAAACAAAAGTATATAATTGAGAGACAATTGTTAAGTGTAGTGGATGTGTGCGTCATACGCTTGAAGTTGTTGAAATCCCGTCCTGTGTTATATTAAAGTAAGGGGAAAACAAAATGTCCTTGAAAATTACATCATTAAACATTTTTACGGCGCGATTTTGTTTGAAAAATCTGATAAGTAAAAAACAACTTTGTGTTGATTTTTTTCTTAAAGAAATCTAGAATGATCGTCAATGTGTTGGAGGAAATAACAACGCATTATTGTGAAATATATCGCGTTTCCGGTCTTCTTTGTTAATATATTAAGAGAAATCTCCGATAGTGTAAGAGCCACCTATTCAGAGCTGTAATATTAGCCACTCATACACTGACTTATTTAGCTGTACATAAACATTGTTTTAATATTGTTATAACATCAATATAATAACAAAATTCAAGAATGTAACATACACACATGTTCTTCAATGTTTCACTTAATTTGCCTTTTTAACACATTCAAAGTGATAATGCGTCACGTCAGTGCAACCGGATGTAACTGTTTTAACAAAAGTCAAAGTCAAAGTATTTATTAGCATAAACATATATACATGTTTTTCGCCACACATAATTGGCGGTTATATTAACAAAAGTAATGTAATATTGAAAAGTATGAAAATATATAATTCATGTTTCATGTTCATGTTTCAACTAAAGATGGGCAGTTTTAAGTACACATAAACACATACAATACAAGACATGTCATATTTAACATATCTAATAATATACAGTAAAAATATGAAAAATAATTTAAAGAAATACAATCATATTTTATTATACAACAACACTCTCGTTTCTCTTCTTTAAAGCCAGATAGACAAATTTTGCAAGTTTTATTATAACAGATCTTTTGGTTGTTGACATAAGCTTATTGAATTTATTCATATTACGCCATGTGTAATAATAATTATCTAAAATAGTTAAACGTAATTCTCTATAAAAAGGACATATTAACAAACAAATGATATGAAGCTTATTCTTCTCATGTCGATTATCATTTATCACGAAATTCATAGAATGACGACCCTTATGTCCGGGTTTCGAAGAAAATGAAATTTAAAGCTTTATTGAATCAACTACGAAAAGGCATCTATAAAAAAACGTAGGCATGGATTGGTTAAACTATATAAAATAACAATGAAACATAAACAAGGGGGGTTGATGAAAAAGTAATGGTAATTTTGAGTTATATCCATTTGATTACCGGTATCATCCGATCAAAAGATTATACTTTAAAGAAGGGAAGAAAGGAATTCTTAAATAAATTTCCGTGATAAAAATCAAACAAATATCCATGTTTATTCATTAGAATCATGTATTTCTTTATTGTTTCATTAGAAACATGAGTGTATGTGTGCATGTGCTTGTGTGTGTGTGTGTGCGTGCGTGCGCGTGCGTGTGCGTGCGTGCGTATGTTAAAAATGGAAAGTGAAAATTTCAAGCATGTTAAGTTTATGCCAATTTATTTTATTGTGTTGAAAGCTAAAAGGTTATATTAACACTCGAATCCGTTCCTGGAACCGACCAGAACTAAGCAATAAGTATAAAGTGTGCCAATCTCTGACGGGATTTGAACCCACAAAATACGTTAGCCAGTGGTTAACTTTAACCAGTGGTTAGTCATCATCATTAAACTAGTAAAAATTATTAATACGTATTTAAAACCAGGTTTTTCTTACAAATATATGTTTAATAATTTCTTCACTAGAACATTTCATATGACATGCATAGGATTAATTTTAAACATTTCTAAAACGTGCTTTAAGAACCCTTTTTCGGTCTCATTTTGTTGTTGTTCAGAAAATTCAGTTAAATAGTCATAACTTTCTTTTTTTTTTAAATAAAACATACAAGTGTAAGTACTCATTTTCTAAGTTAGAACATAACAATTCAAAATTTTTAAAAAAAGTTGTATATAATCATGATGTGTATCTTAAGGAAAATAGATCCATCGATACTTTAAGGTCTTGATATAGTGTTTGTTTAATTCCAAAAACATGCAAAATTAATTCTTTAGGAGCTTCCTGATTCTTAAAAGTTTAATATTCATTAATGAATCGGTCATTTTGTTTCCATAATCACTAACCGGCCCTATTGCATTGTGGTACTTAAGCAGTGGATAAATACGCAACCAACTGGTCAGGTAGCAAGAGTACTATCCAACTGTTGCACAATTAAATTTTATCCACTGGATAGCTGGCCGCTGGTTAAGGATTTAACCAGTGGATAAGCTGTCTATTGGTTAATTTGAACAACCCAGTCCAGCAGATTTCTAGTCCGACGTGTTAACCACTCTGCATGCTGTCACTCAACTGAAGCGTACAATTACAAATTTATGTCAAGGTTTGAAAAGTTATGTTTCCTCAAAACCATTGGAATTGTTTCATTATCTCCTAAACATCATGAACAACCCACCACAATCTTATGGATATAACATTTATCCACGTTATTTTCTCGTAACTATATTAGCGAGCAAACATAAGAGTGGTAGTCACTTGATGCGGTATTACTCTTGAAGTACATGCAATATTTCACAACTGTAGTAACAAGTTAATATGTTGTTGAAATATTATTCCGTCGTGATACTTTGTCTTTCCATCGTCAACGGAGAACCTGGAGAACCTAAATGTTTGTCGAGGTTTGACTATGACGAGAAAATGTTAATGAAACAATTAAGATTTGAAGACAAAGTTCAGAAATTCGAGGATTTTATAAACGGAGTTAAGGCGCGAGAAGCCAAGGAAAAGGAGGAACGCGATGAATTGTTTGCCGCAGAATTAGATAAAGTTACAAACTTTCAAGAATTTATGAAAGAACTGAAGTCGAAAGAAGAAAAGGAAACAGAAGAACGCTCTAAGTTGTTTGCCGCAGAGTTACACAAACTAGAGAAATACAAACAAGAGAATGCGGAAGAAGTTGAACGACAGAAAAATGTGACGTCAGAAATGCTCGAAAGTGTGGCGAATTCTAAGACGGAGTTTGAAAACATTCATAAACAAATAAATGAGACAATGAAAGGTCAGTTGCACATAAAGTATTACAGAAATGCATATCACATTTTTTGTAAAGAATTGATATTGTCTTAATATAAATGGTCTAGCTAAGCGAATCCCACTAAAGCAAATGCTGAAAAAATAACTTTATATTAAAATGATTTTTAATGAAATATACATCAACGTCAACAATATTTTGAAGATGATCAACGTTTAAACTTGGATAAAACGCATGAGTTTATTGTACGAGCTAGCATTGTGCAATATTTTCTAGGGGTTTTTTTGTTTTTTGTTTTTTTGTAAATAAGTTATTTTAATTGCCAAAGAAAGGTAGAATTGTTCATAATTAGCACGCCTTATATGTCTTTGTATGTTATACACGAGGAAGCAGTAAACAGTTTTACAAGCTTCCCGGCAATCTACCATATATTTCTAATAGTACAAGCCCAACATCAAGTTTTCTTTTTGATTGCTGTTTCTGAAGCGAAACAATACACACAGCCAAAATCTATAGTCAATGAAGTCCTACAGAAACATTAATATACTAAATTCTAGAGCTCTTTTTAACACTATTTTATGTATTCTGCTGCTTCTGCATACACTTAAATTAAAAGGCTGATTTCCAAGCTACTTCCATGAATCATATATTCTAATCCAACAGGTACTCCCTCGCTGCTTATAATGGCTAAAACCCCACAATCTGGCCACTTCAATTCCAAATTTCTTTCACATATGAATGTGACCATGGCAAAACGAAACTAACCTACTAAAACTGTATGCTGCCACCTGAGGTATAACGTTTACGTCTGGTTAGAAACTGATTGACTTTATGCGAACTTTATTTAAACTATTACGAAAAGTTTATCATTAATTATGATCACAGTGTCTATATCGTGTGCTTTATGTAGCAGAAAACCTATACAAAAGACGGTAATATTTTCCATCGTGATTTTTTTAATGTTCCATCATCTCGTTTGGAATAGATTGAAGAGTCCGCTTATTCTAATTATTAAACCCTTCATAGGATGTTTCTTGGGAAAAATTATATTCTTCCATTAAGTGAAACCGCGTTATTTTCTGAATGTTAAAACACGCAGTTACACTTTACTAAGATATGACTTAATTTTCCTACAAAAATTCCTTAATGAGAACAAATTACTACCCGAACCGTTGTATTGGTGTTCAGTCGCATGGAGATTATAAAAGTCACGAGGTAAAGGCAACGAAAGAATATTTATAATATGAAATTACATTTGAATTAAAAACAGAGTACATGAATTACCATCATGCCAAATTTCATGCATTTCTTCTTTGTAATATAAGAGTTACATAATTATATTTTTCTAAAAGTTACAATTAAAATAATTTTGATAAAACATTTATCTAAATGTATTAATGTATCAATGTTAAAACCCAAAATGTTATCACTCTGACGTCTTTTTTTCAGAGAAAGTGGTGGCTTTCACAATGACCACACCAAAGGTGGGTGCTACATCAGGATCTATGTCTTTTACAACGGTCGTTACAAACGAAGGGAACGGGTTTGATACATCGACTGGCAAGTTTACATGCCCTGTAAGCGGGCTTTACTTCTTTTCCTTACACATTATCAAAAAGAGGGCATCCGTCGACTATGCCGGATGTTACATTTATCTGAACGGATCGAGTAAAGTGAGAGCTTACATAGATCCACAGGACGGGGCAAATGGTGCAGACATCGGAAGTTACGGAGTTTCGACATCGGTGTATTTAAAGCTGAAGGTTGGAGATGTGGTGACCTTAGAGAACTGTAGTGGTACAATACCAAGCGCTGTAGAACCATGGACGTCATTCAGTGGTTATTTAGAAAGACAAGTTTAATAACTAAAACATAAATATAGTATAACATTGATACTTTATCAAAATACACCATTTATGCATAAATGTTTCAAGTATGAAAATATTAGACTTGTTAAATATAAATTGATCAGTCACTATATACGTTCATATGTATTGTTCCCTGAAACACTCTCATGTATTGTTTTCTGAAACACTCTCATGTATTGTTAATATTTTATATGGGAAATATACACATTGCAGTTTTATTATATGTTCAGAATGTACACAATAAATACGGCCATATACATAACGTATAAGTACGTATTGTTGATTGGAAAAGGAAATTAAAATTAAAATGAACTGTCAACAATTTATTTTGTCAGTTTATTAAAAAAAACAAGGCAGCAAAACGAGCACTAGCCCTATTATTATTTTTACATAATTTTATTATGAAAAACGTTACAATTGTATATTTGAAAAGATAAACGAAAGTGCAATGTGACCATTTTACATGTTTTACAATTATCTTCTTTCTTTGGTATTCGATTCTTGAGAAATATTGAATATCTTAACAGTCAAAACTGTCCATCTATGACACAATTCATTACCATGCTCTTATCATATGCAACACTTTTCCCTTAACCTCCTCTATATTTGGTCATATTTATTTCTGAAATAAGACAATACGATAGTCTAAATGTTTGTTTACTATTTCTGCATGACGTTTTACCAAAAATGACGTCAAAGTCACCTGCTATTGGCACATCTTTAATGTTGACATCTTCTTAACAACTTATTTTTGAAGGCATCTCGGTATTTCTAATAAGTCGACGTGAACACGAAGCTTGTTAGAACATCGAAAATCCCTGAGAAAAAATACAACAACCAAGTAAATTTGTCATGGTCAATACTGCTCTAACTAACAACTTACTGTCCTACCTAATGAAGAAACTATTGTTCCATTCACCGAAAAGCTAGACGAAAAATATAAGTTAACGCTTATATAAAATTAAAAAAAAATATTAAAGACACTTAATCTTCAAGTTGGCGTTTGACTTGTTTAAAATTCCTGGTACATCTACTGAATATAATTTATATTTTTTACTGCACAATAGGCATGTAGTTGCAGACATTTGTTGTTTGTTCGATACATGTGTGGGAGTTCATGCTTTTGTCATAGAAATAGGTTGATACATTTGAAATAAACATACTTTAGATGGTGGTGGTTTTGATAGTTTTCATTACTCCGAATCACGACGGTAAGCAACCCTGAAATTACCAGAGAATTGTTCTGGACAGGGCTTATTATTCATGTCAAGCAGGGCACCAGTACTAGCTTATTTTCGCAAGGAACTGATAACTTATGTACATGCCAAAGCAGTACGTATGACAACAGAAAAAATGTCATGAACAATCACAACGAAAATGACCTGCTTCGTCCGGGTATCGAGCTCGGCTCGGCCTATTTACAGTCTGACGCTCTACCTATTGAGTTAATCGAACGGTGCAATAACATAGATAACTGTTTCGATTTACTTGTTCAAAAGATGAGAGGGATTTAAGGAATGAATGGCCCTACTTTGGTGTGATATCAACATGTACATATACGTATATATATACGTATATATACGAAGCCAAAAACATGTTCAGCTCTTTTCGTGAAATTGCTTATCGTCACTTTCGGATGTATCATATTATTTAAAACACGACTGGAAGTGACTTGTCTCCACTCGAATAATTAATATTTAAAAAAAAAACAGCAGTAAGAGGGACATAAAAGTCACATAAAAGCAGTTTCGAAATCAGGATATTTGAGAATGACGACGAAAGGGAGATAAATATGTATTATTTCAAAGTCTTGAAGATTAATGAGATACACCAATGTTTTAGCGATTCATTCAACGCATTCTCCATTTAGGTATACTACTAAACATCGGATCAACCAGATGTAGTCTTTATTTTTTACTGACCCCGGGTCTAGAAATTTATGATGATAGATCATATTGATATCATGTCATTATGTTTCAGACATAATCATAGGGGGGTCAACTTCATATGATTCAACGAATGTACATCAGTTAGAAAGATCTTTCGTCTCCAGTTTCCATATGCTGGTTAATCATCCATATGAGGATGCCTTTTCTACTTTTTTCAATTTTGAATTATATTTTTGTTAGAATGAACTATCATTGAAAAAAAGGAAAGCTATTCGAACCTAAACCAGTTACTTTATAGTTACTTAGTCATTTGTCATTGTCATTTGATGCCGTCTGTTAAGAGAAATATTTGTTGTCGTTGGTTCAGATGTGCCAAAAACAAAATGCATTAATTTAGTAGTTAACCAATATTATGAGCAATGGCCAAATTAACATAAAAGCTTAAAATATTCAAAGATTGACTTTTGTATAAAATTTCCATTTATTTCTATTTTATACTTTTTTTAAAAGATGTTGTTATTTTTCACATGTAATCAATGTTAATTTTCTTTTAATCTAATTAGTAATATTTGTTTTACCTAACACAGATATCTTAGCGATTCTGTGTGACAAACACTTTCAATCGGTGACGCTTGCTGATTTTTCATAATCGAAATTGTATTCGTATCACTTGATTGTTTAAACAAAATAAAAAAGATGCATTATTTGCATGTTCGTACATTGATTCTGATTCTTTTTTATGCGTTATAGGCACATAATGCCTACGAAATCCATATATTTTTATTCTTTGGAACTGTCAAACATGTTTTTTTGTTTTTTTTTATTTGGGGGGGGGGGTGATTGAGTTATATTATGTCGCAACAACACTGACTATGTCAACTTTCCAGCTGTAGTGGTGGAGGAAGTCCACAGGTGCCATTCCGTGCATTTTTTCAGGCACAAATATGGGCACCTGAGTAGAACCACAGACGGAAAAGTTCCGAAAACTAGCTTGCTCACAGATTTTAATCCAAATTCACTGCTAGTACTCGAACTACGGACACCAAATAACATTTTATGTTACTGTTCAATCAGCATTCACCGAAAATCGATAACTGTATTACGATATGTAACTCTTCCGTTCAAAAATTCGATATAAATTTTGATTACTTCCCTTTGTAAACATTTCAGTTTACAATTTCTGATAAAAACTTATGTTAAGGATACATTATTCGTTTCTGATGTATAATGTGGGTTTAAATGAACATAAAATCACTCTATCAGTATGCTTAACACTTTTACTCTTATTTGTGAATCAGCATTTATTAATAACCTAGCAATTCCAAAATGCATATCAGTTCTATGTCTCTGTCCATGTTTGCCCTATTTGAAAATCATTTTGTTTGATCAATGTATATATTGATTTTAAGAAAGTTAGAGGTTTCTATTGCAAACATTATGATATCGTGACCTCGGTTTCAACACAGGACTTTTCATGTATAAAATTCTGATCGCAAATCTTGAATGAGGAGAATTCTAGAAAAGGATATGACTGAATCTTCTTAAAAAAGTCCTTAAAGTACGTCTTTTTTCAACATTTTTGATATCGAGAAAGGATTACGATATTGGTATAGACTATTTTACAACTTGCACGTCACTTATGAATAATGACGAACTGAAATATGCAAAATCCATTTGGATGATAACGTTTGTTATATGAGTTCGCATGTTAAAATAATTTAGTTGACTTCGATGGGTTCATGAAACGCCAGATATTTTTAATTATTTAATAAGAGGAAGCTATCCTGGTAACTTATGGAATGTCAGTGATGTAATCCAGGTGTCCATACGTGCCATGAGGAGGGAGACCCGAGGTTTTTCTCCTCAAATAAACCTAGCAAGTCGCCATATGACCTTTACATTGTAGTTGAGACGATAAACCAAAGCAAGAAAATCTTACATTTATATCACATTCGAGTACAAGTGTTTTAGTCATTTTGTTTTACAGATATTCATAATTATAATGTTGTTGATCTAGCGACTGCCACAATTTAGAACGGAGACATTCAGTTCGAAATTGCATGAAAACAAATAAAAATAATTATTTTCAGTACTACAAAAGAAAACTGTTAGATTAAAGCAAACACTAAGTGTTCTCCAGTACTTCTTTTCATAGTTTACCTTTATCCAGATGCACCTCAACATTCAATTGAATTATGTTTTTATCTCAAGTGTTTTACTGTTTAACAATGTATCAGCATCAAGCGCGAATTTACGTTAATTATAAAGGATAGCAAACACTATGTATTAAGGACGTTTTCAGGGGGTTTTATATAGACACATAGGTAAAATTAAAACTGTTCAATGGATTTCTTTAAACTTAGCTTTTTGTTAGACCATTAACATTTTGTCGCTTATAATATTTCTTTTTACCATATTCTATCACTTGCCAAGTTTTAAGAAATTATATTGAAGAATTTTAGTTTTGCCTAAATGTCTATGCGGAAACTCCCGGAATAACGTTTTGAAACACGTGTGCTTTAACAAATGCCTTCATAAATTCTGATCTCCTTTCAAAATTTCATTTTATTTAGTTCCACCCATTGTTTTCTCGTTTAGAGCACGCGCATTCTTTTACTTGGGGACCATATGCCGCTTTTCATGGAATGGCACTACTGTGTAACATTGAAGGTTCCATAATAACCGCCGTATGAACGCATCTGCGGATGTTTCTAAATTCAAAATGATACCATTTTCGTGTTTAAATTTTGAATGCTGCTTAAACCGATGTTAGGGGGCGTGGACAGTAGTTTGCACTTGACATGTCTTGATTGTCTTGCTGAGGGAATGAGCGTTGAAACAAATGTATAACTCTGCAAGTAACTAACTAAACTTATAAATGGTTGTGAGATATTTTGATATGAATATAACAATACTTATTCAGTAAATATTGTATTTGTTAAATATTTATTTAAATAATTTTAAAGTGATAAAGTTTACAACCTAACCGAGAACAGTTTGATGTTATCTAACAAACGATCAGATACATACAAGTTATTTATGAAGGGTGCTGTTCAACTTAAAGTCACAAATATTTTATATGAAACTCGTATATTCTAACTTCTAACATATATTTGGAATATTTTTCTTACTTGTCGGTCATAAACGTGTTTAATTCTATTCAGCTGGCGCGGATAATTTCCTCCGATTTAATTGAAATTTTCCAAAAATTCTTATGTGCAAAAAAGATCGCTTGTCGGATTTTATTATACTTTCATTGCCGAACATAATTATTTATACTTAAAGCACTGTAAGGGTTTTACCATTCATATCCCGCAAATAAACTGTTATCGTATATGTTTTCTTTCAAATAGGAACTTAAAGGAATCTAAAG